ATATTAATTACCCAATTTGCATAATTAACCAATTTTAAGCTTTCACACTGATATCTAAAGTACTAATTTCCATTTTATTGAAACTTAGTACAAAGATGCTCTAGGACAATGTACAAACCTAATTAGTTTGGGGTAAAACTCTGTTCATATTATTTCCCCAATTAGCATAATATATCATAATTTTTTGGTTCTAATCACATTTCAATTAAACTTGGTACATAGAGTTTTTGTTACATTGCGCAGACCTCATTAGTTTTACAATCAAATTTGTTCATGTTAATTTTCTGATTTGCATAATTAGTTTTCAGCTAAGTAATTTCAAATTATATTTAATGTGTCTCCAATACTCTCAGCACATGGGAGTTCTTTCTAAGCTTTCTTTGATTAATTTTTGTCAGGAAATAAAAATGATTGGCAAAAATGTCTCGATGTTTGGACCAGACTACAAGAGGAGCAGGTGACTGTGCGGCCGAGAACTATGAAATACTTGGCGGATATACTACGAAAGAATGGGCAAGAAGTGACCTTTGAAACACCCAAGATAACTATGGTAAGTGGAGTTGTGGTCTGTTGGGGTAAAGTGAAAACCATCAATTCCTCAATGGAATGGAGAAAATAGACATATTTTATTAGTCCCCATTCGAACTAAGTCCGAAAACGGGGACAATTAATTTGGGTTTCATGTGTCTGTGCCATTTCTCTGACACCCTTTGACCGATCTCGTTCAAACTTGGTATACAGACAATGTATGATGACCTACATATGCACGCCAATTTTCGTTATGATTTGATTAAATGTGGCTGACTGGCAGCCATTTTGTCCCTCAAATTTGCTAAATTCTGATATTTAAACGTGTCCGGAACTGTTTCTCGGAGCTGAACAGGGTGATTTCAATCAAACTTTGTATGCAGATCATGCATATTGGGTTATAGGTGCACATCACTTTTTTTTTTGAGATTCAGTCAGCTGGCGGCCATTTTCTTTTTTTCTGTTTTCGTGCTGATTCCTTTATATTAAGATATGGCCTGATTCAGTTCAAAGTTTGTACATAGGTACTATACTTCAAGATAACACAACATCACGTTTTGTTTTGAGATTCGATCAAATTTGTCGAAATGGCGGATATTTTGTTTAATATCTTAAAATCAGTATGTAACGTGTCCGGAACTGTTTCTCAGAGCTGAACCGGGTGATTTCAATCAAACTTTGTATGGTGATTATGTATGTGCACGTCATATTTTGAACCGACTGGCGGTCATTTTGTTTTTTTCCTTTTTTGTGCCGATTCCTCCAAAAGATATGGCCTGATTCACTTGAAAGTTTGTACATAGGTAACACAGCAACATGTTTTGTCTTGAGAATTGATCAAGTTTGTCGAAATGGTGGTCATTTTGTCAAAAAAACATAAAATATCATTCTGTAACATGTCTGGAACTGTTTCTTGGAGATGAAAGGGGCAATTTCAATCCAACTTTGTATGGTGATCATGCATATTGGGTTATAGGTGCACGTCATATTTTTTTTGAAATCTGAACCAAAATGACCGACTCACGGCCATTTTGTTTTTTCCTTTTTGTGCTGATTCCTCTGAAAGATATGGCCTGATTCAGTTCAAAGTTTGTACACAGGTAGTATACTGCAAGGTAACACAACAACATGTTTTGTTGATTTGATCAAATTTGTCGAAATGGTGG